ACGGTATTATTTTTCTGATAGAATAATGAGCATGAGAAGAAAGTAAAAACTAATTTTGTTTATTTCTTCTTCGCAAGTCCTATTATTTGGTTCTTATACTAATAGATTGCAGCGTGAGTAATTAAATATAACTGCTATTAAAACAGAAAATTAAAGGTTTAAAAAAATAATATTATTTGTTACAATGAGTTCATATACCTGTAAAGAATACGACAAACTGTCTGAGAGTGATGTTGGTAAGTAAGACTAATAATTTTTTTGCCGGGAATATTGAATTTATTTGTTATAGACCCATGAATATGTATTAGAAAAAGAAGAAGAATTTATGAATCGAAAGAGAAATCAATTTGAGCAGTATGAATTCAACATTTCTACAAACTAAGAAGAGAATTAGAATTTTTGAATTAAGTGATTTAACGACTGACGAAGACGATGTTACTAATTTTCGGTCACATTATGAAAATAATGATGAGAAGATAAGAAAAAGTAAAAGGAATAAAGGCGAAAAATATTATACGCAAACTAGAAATATTATAGAGAGGAACTGGAACTGGAAATAGAAAGTGATCGAGTATCATTTTTTAATGTCTTTGGGAAATGGGGGATTTTAGCAAACAAAATACATTCCTGTGTGCATTCACTCGGCGTGCGTCAATAAAACAAGACGAGGCAGAAATTTCAAGGGATCAGCCAAAGATTGTAGTTATAAATACTTTTTAAATATTGAAAAGGAAAGCATTGAGGTATGCAAAAAGTTCTTTATAGATACATTTGCTATAGGCAGACTACATACGGCTCTCAAAGCAAAGATAATAGGAAATGACTTACGTGGAAAAATGAAGGGATCTTGCAGAAAGAGTGATGAGAAACTAGTGGATATCGCAAAAGATCATATAAAAAGTTTTCCACACTATGAAAGTCATTACACGCGTTCTACTAATCCAAACAGAAAATACGTGAGCTCTGATTTGAACTTAAGAAAAATGTACAACTTGTATGTTGAAAAGAGCGAAGAAAACCATACAACATTTCTCAGCGAGCGAATATATAGGAAAATTTTTAAGAATAATTTTTTCACATAAAAATCCATTTCAGTCAAGCTTTTATGTCTATAAAAATATGGACTTAAATTCGCTCCTGTTTTTATTTTTTGTAATATGTTACTTTTTAAAGTGGTTTAAGTCCATGTGGAGCTAAAAAATCGTTTATTTTTTCAAAAAAGTTTAGTAATTATTATTTCATAATAAAATTTAAAAGAGTAAAAAACATCACTTGAATTGATTAAAGTTGGCCAATATTTTTAAATTGATTCAAACGCAAACCCTTAAATATCTCAATATATGGAAAAATTGACTTATACCACTTTCAAAAAAACCAGCTTTTAGAAAAAATGAAATAAAATGTTAGTTTTAAATTATTTATAGTCTTGAAAATAATAAATGTTAGTTGCAATTAAATATATAGTTATAATTTGTTATACATAAATTTATATCTATGTAAAGTTATCAGAAGTTAATAAAGTTTATATTGAAAAAAAAATTTCATCAAAGTCACCTCAGAACTTTAGGTACAGGATTGTACACACAGATCGACAGACGGACAACTCTATGAAAGTAGTTTATTTTCGCTTCCCTATTATGAAGAAGTGCGTTCCCACCTAAAACTTGACGTCCAAAATTTGATGCCATCACATAACCTATTTCATTGTATACAATACGGTTTTCGGTGTACTCGTTTTTGGATAGAGCCTGAAAAAAAAATTCGTTCCAAGAGTTTTTCTCCTTATAAATAAGTGCTAATTACTGCAGAGGCATGCGACATATACGAGTAGTAACCATTAGACAATTATTATTAATAAAGTTGGGTCAAACCAATGGTTTGTATTGTAGCACTCTTCCCTTCAACAAGTGAAAATACTGCTTTTAAAAACAACCTATGTATACCTACCACACAATTAAAATTGTTTTTATTCATAAACGAAACTATTTCTGGGATCTCTATATGATTCTATAGAACCATATGCATTTTTCAAATTTTGCAAAAGCAGCAAATCAGTGGCTTGCTTCTTCTTATATACTATATTTGAACTTAAAAAAAGCAAAATGGCTGCTAAAACCTACCGTTATATAAAATCCGTTTTTTCCAAATTTTTGATGTTGGCTTTCTCCTAAATCCCAGGCTGTAAAAGTCTGAAATTTCAACAGCTTTCAGACATTAATAAATAGTTCATTTCGTTAGAAGAAAATTTTTTTTCATCTCCACCCCCTCTCAAGTTATCGCCTCTCGAAATTTGTAAAATTTGGATATTTGACACCTTATATAAACAAAACCGCAAACTTTTTCGAATTTCTATAAACGCAAAAAGCTAACGGTAAATTCCATGATATTAAAAAAAAATAGTTTTTTTCTTAACTTACACAATCAACCCTTAAAATCGAGAATTATCTTAACCCCTCTTAAAATTTGTTTTTGCTTTATTTCAAAAGACTGCATAAATCGTTCATCTTAAATACATGCAATCCTAGAAATAGTTTCGCATATGAATGAAAATAATTTTAATAGTGTGGTAGGTATACATAGAATGTTTCCAAAACAGTATTTTCATTTCTTAAATGAAAAAGTGCTACAATACAAACGATTGGTTTGACCCAACTTTATTTATATATATACCTACTTTTCAGATGTCAAAAAGTACGAGTACTTCTAATGGGCTAGGGACATGGGACAAAAGGCATTAGATAGGGTTTTGCCTCTAGGGTCCCACAAAAAGCAAAAATACCACCCACCCTCCTCCTTCAGTCCCTCCGAAGATGCTTTGCGACCGCTTTTTACAGAATGGTACTACATCTTGTAGGTTTAATTATACCCGTACAAACGCTTGTTCGAAGGGTATACTAAATTTTCCTTACCGTTTGTAATGCCAAGAAATAATGGTGTGGAATATAGACTCAAATGTATGTTTTTGATCAGCGTCGAATTCTAAGTCGATTTAGCTTTGTCTTCCGTACCAACGATAACTCAAAAACTAATTGAGCTAAGTTCACTAAATTTTCACACATGATTTGTTGTAGTAAGTGCCAGAACCCTATGATCAGGGTACCACTTCAGGTAACTGTCATACAACTTCAAAATTTTTTTGACTATATCTCAGAAACTATAAAAGCTGTGATATTTAAATTTCTAACAAACGAATATATTAGTAAGATCAATTTGTTTGATAAAAATGGCGTTGAAACTTTTTGACTTCTTATGGTAGCAGCCATACAATTTCAATAGTAGATCCTACAAAATCCTCAGAAAAAAGGCCATATCCTAGAAAATATTGAAAACACACTACTGAAATTCTCATAAATTGATATGGTAATACAGCAACTTAAAATCACAGTCTGTCCCATAGTCAGCTATGGCATATTTACTCGCACATAGGATAACAAATGCATACGGGTATCACATAGTTGACACGGTCAACTCTATTTTTTCTCGTTTTTAAATAAAATTGGGTGAAACCAATGGATTATATTGTAGCATTTTTTCCTTCATCAAGGGAAAATACTGCTTTTAAAACAATCTAGCGTTGTATTAGATTATTTAAATTACTTTTATTCATATACGAATATATTTCAAAAACTGCATACCTGTGGGATAAACGATTTATTCAGTCTTTGAAATAAAGCAAAAATAAATTTAGAGACGGGTTAACATAATGCTCGAAATTAAGAGTTAATCACGTGAGTTACGAAAACTAATTGTATTTTTTAATGAAATGGTATTTACCGTTAGCTTCTTGCGTTTATAGAAATTTGAAAAAGCTTGCGGTTTCGAAAATATAAGGCGTCAAAAATTCAAATTTTATAAATTTCATGACGTGATAACTTGAGAGGGGTGGAGATGGAAAAAAATTTTCTTCCAACGAAATAAACTATTTGTTCGTATGTAACCTTCAGACTTCTACAACCGAGGAAAAATCGGATTTTAATATAAATATATGGATTATAACGGTGAATTTGAATGGCCAATTAATTTTTTTTTTAAAGTGTAATTATAGTATGCCACAATAGCAGAAACAAGCAACTGCCTTTCTGCGTTTTGAAAAAATTTGAAAAATGCTTATGATTTTACTGCAATAAATAATTAAAAAGTGGCATTTTTAGGTTATAACTTTTAGAGAGGGATAGATAGGTAACAATTTTCTTCCACGGAAGTAAGTTTCAGTAAAGATCTATGTACATAAAAAACTTCAGCTTTCTATTTTCAAGGGTGTAGAAGTTTTGTAAACATGTCCACGGAGGGAAAGACCGACGGACGACAGAATGAAACTAATAAGCACCTTTCTTCAAAAAATTTTTGGAAAAGTGCTACTATGAGAGGTAAAAATCCTCCATACAAAATTTTCTTCATTCTCTCTTAGCTTTACCAGTAAAGAATCATTGAATTATTTACAACCTGTATAATAAATATTCTGAAAGCATTTGTTTTTGCTTTATCATTTTTTTATTTATTTATTAATTTTCATTACTAATTTTTTTAAAATAACGAATTTAATATATAAATACATATATATGCAGGTTGAGCCAGAAAGGTATACAACAGCATATACCATTGGTTAGAGGGTCGAAAATGGGTAAAACTTTTGTCCCGGACTAGGTTCGAAATCTCAAGACTTTTCAAAATATTAAAATTCAGATTTTTTATCAAAATAACAGTTCTGAAAAATGTTAATTGTGTTTTAGGGTGAAATTGCAATAAAAATAAATAGTAGGTGCCAAATGTTGCTTTTAAGATCAATAAGAATCAAAAAAAATGAAAATTTTTTGGTTTTTTACGTTTTATTATTGTCTTTTAAATCTCAACATAGATAAGGTTTCCGTGTTACATCTTCTGTCCCATAAAAGTTTTTTCAACACTTAGCAACTAAAATTAAAGCTGGGAAGAGTGGCCAAAATTCTGTAAAAAAGATTTTTGAAGTTTCAAAAAATTTCGCACGAAGTTATTGGGTTGAAAAAAAAAAAAAAAAAAAAAGAAAAAATTAGATATTTTTCCAAAGTTCGAATGTTTGGTATTCCGAATGTACATAAAATAAATTAATCAAATAACGTGTTCATTTAAGGCCTTTCCTAGGCCTTTCAGAAACTGTTTATTTGAAGCCTTTATCTTCTTCGGAACGAAAGTTATAATCAAAAAACTTGGATAAACAAAATTTCGCGAAAATTCGTTAAAATCCCTTTATTTCGGAAACCCTTGAGATTTCGTACCTTGTCCGGAACAAAAGTTTTACCCATTTCCGACCCCCTAACCAATGGTATATGTTGTTGAATTTCTTTCTGAATCACCCTGTATATAAATAATAACAATTAAAATTTTTATATACATACACATATATTGTTACATTAATTAATCAAAAACAAATTTTCCTAATTAAAAAAATTATAATGAACTCCATTTAAATGAGACATTCCAATACCACCGGGGACATATGTTGTACCAGGACTGCATTTTGTACAATTTCTTTTTAATGCCGGACGTTGTTTTGAGGCGTGACAATGCATTGCAAATCTTAATTCTTCGGCCATTTCGCTGCATAATGATTGACGTTCAGTTTGAGCATTCTTTTTGGAATTCCAACAAAATTCTAATATTGCGACAACAACAGCTAACGCAAGGCCACATAAAAGTACAACAAATACACCACCTATATATTGTAAAGAAGAAAATACTAAATTATCACATAATTTATATTATACAACAAAAATAAAACAAAATTTTTAATATTATTACGACCTCATAAACTGAATATATGAAAATCATTATGTAACAAACAAAAAATCATCATAAATACAGCGAACTCTTATCTAAATATTATAGTCATCAAAAGTATTGCACAAATAAACATTAAGATGCCATCATTTAACATTATGAATAAGAACCACTAAAAGGCTGCCGTTTGCCACTTTGTGATCTGCAAGAAAAATGTCAGGCATTTGTCATACCAATGAAAATAAATTTGGGTCAAACTGGTTTGTAAAGTAGCACTTTTCTCTTCAACATTATTTAATTCAACATTATTTAAATTACTACCATGTTTTAGCGCCAGACGCACCCGTCTTTGATATTTATGGAATCGGAAGACGGATTTTTTTAAGTAATTTTTCTTTTCTGATATCTTAATTTGTTTTTCCAAATGTAGTAGTTTACATACTTTAAAAAATTAAGTAATTTAAAAAACAACAATATATTGTATATTGTAGTACCTGAAAAAGTTAGCAAATCAAAAAACAACTTATCACAGGTGAGATTCTTAAATTTAAAGAAACTAAATAATGAAAAAAGCTTTAAAATATTAGTTCTATTCTTCTTTGAAGGAAATTAAACCTATTAGCACTTTTCCAAAAAATTTTTGAAAAAATTGCTTATTAGTTTCACACTGTCCGTCTGTCCGTCTGTCCGGGTGTCTCTTTACAAAACTTCTACACCCTTGAAGACAGAAAGCTGAAATTTTATATGTGCATAGATCTTTACTAGAAACTTATTTTCGTAGAACAAAATTTTTACCTATCTCCCCCCCTCTAGAAGACCCCTCCAAAACCCAAAAAATGGCATTTTTCGACTATTTGTTGCAATGAAACCATAAGCATTTTTGAAATTTTTCAAACGCCGAAAAGCATTGCGTTGCATCCCCTAGCGCGATATACTATAGGTAAAATTTAGAAAAACAAAATGTCCGTTCAAATTTATCGTTATCTAAAGTTCTTTTTTTCCAAATTTTTGATTTCGTTTTTCTTCTAGACCCCAGCCTGTAGAAGCTTGAAATTTTAGGGGCTTTCAGACATTGACAAATAGTTCATTTCGTTAGAAGAAATTTTTTTCCATCTCCACCCCCTCTCAAGTTATCGCCTCTTGAATTTTGTAAAATTTGAATTGTAAAATTGAATTAAAATTGAAATTGCAGGGTATAATTCAATCGGTATATACCAACTGAAACGTTTTAACTTGTTTTAAATCAAAGTGGCTATTTTTTGAGAGGAAGTATTAAAATAAATTCGCACTTATTATAAAGCAGGTAAAATTTAGAAAATATATTTAAAAAATCAAAAAAATATATTAAAATTTTCATTCATAATTATTTTAAAATTCTTGAAACAGCGGAAAATAACAAGCACAACCTTCGCCTTCAACGTTTTATATGTTACTGAAAGCAGTTCATTATTTTTAAGTGAATAGCTTTTTTTTCTCATAGGGTAAGTCAACTCAAAATATGGGAAGTAATTGTACTGTCAAGTTGAAAATATAATTAATGAAAGATAATTATTAAATATTGACATGAATACATAGTAAAGAAAAAATTTGAAGAGGGAATTAGAAAATAATATCTAAAAAATACAATCAAATATTATTTTTTAAATACAAATTTTATATACACTTCTATATTTTACCTCTATTTGTGAGAAAATTTTTAAAACTTAATATATTACCTAAGTAAAAAAATATTTAAAAGGTTTTGGAAAAGACAATAATATATTTTTATGACCGGATTCGAATAACATATCTTTTCTATTTTTGAAATAAATATTATCTTAGCAAATGACTCAAAAACTCCGATTGTAAAATGACAGGTAGTAAGTACTGATGTAAATTTTTGTCCGTTTGCGTTTACTATTAAGATTCACACACAGGCAGGGCCATTTAAATAGATTGCTCTTGTTTACCTGTTAATAAAATATGAAAGAGGAGCACAGCAAAATTTTTGAAGCACTCAATATAACATGTTTGAAATAGTTTTAAAATAATTATTTAAAAAAAATTTATTGGAAGTAGGTACATACGAGTACATATTTATTTTTATTAACTTAAAAACTAACTGAAATTATTTGAAACAATTTTATAAGTAACGTATAAATAACCGAAAAGAGATAATTCAAATTGTTGAAATGTGTCAACCTATATTACTTTTACTAACATTTTTGTTAGCCGACACTACTCAACTTACCTTATGGGGAAATACAAAATGGCATGAAAAATCATACATCCTTCCTCATTAACATTTGAAACCATACTGAAATATGAATTTCAAATTTTTTTTCATTTTTTCTTTCCTCCTACCTTTCTTTTTTTTTCGTGCAATAGAATTTAAATGGGAAGCTTTTTGAAAAATGTGTATAATATGCTGAGATTTTTTAAAATATTAAACTGTTTTTTACGTAAAAAAAAGAAAAAATTAATAATAAGAAATATGACACGATCAGTAGCATTTAAAGAAAAAAACAGGAACGAAGCCAAAAATTCGTAATATTTCGTAAAAATAATAGAGTATTGGGACTTGTTAGATGTAAAGACATTACCACAACATGACAAACAATTACAATATTAAGAAAAATTATACTATATTCACATGTAATTACTTAAGCTGCATAGTAAGTTAAAGCTTTTTCGACTTATGAGAATTACGAAAATAAAACGAAAATTATTAATTTGTGCAGAAAATTGGGATTCAAAAACGTACAGAATTGAGAATACATATTTTTCCGTTTTCTTTTTTTTCTTCTTCTGCATGTTATTTATTTTTTTTAGTGTTATTTCTGCTGTTGAAAGAGGCGTTAACATAATATTCGAATTTAAGTGTGATTTATATGAGTGAAGGAAATGTGTATCTATATTCTTGCTCGAATTTCAGGTTTTTACATACTGCGGTCTAGAAGAGAAAATTTGATTTTGAAAATTTGAAAAAAAACTGGTTTCAGATAACGGTTAATATTAGCAGCCATTTATTTTGTTGCTTGAACATTTAATTTTTCTGTGAAGCGGTAGAGAAGAACCAACCACTCTTTTTCTGCGTTTGCAAAATTTGGAAAATGGTTATGGGTTCTCTAAAATAAATAGACAAGAAATGGCATTTTAAAGTCTTAAGGAATATATGAATTTTAGGGTTTTAATATTTAGAGGGGAAGATTGTTCATATGAAATCAACTTTATTTTCAATGGTGTAAAAGTTTAGTAAAGGGACCCACGAATAATCGGACGGATGAACGGGCAGAGTTAAACTAATAAGCACTTTTTGGAAAATTGCTACAAACTATCAAGGTATGTTACATTTTCGAAAACCAATAGGGCGAAGATCTGAAAATTTTAAAAGTCTCAAAAGTCATTCGTACTGTACTAATTATATAAATAATTTCTATATAGAAATTATATAGTTTTATGAACAATAAATTTTTACTTTAGAATTCTAAAAATCGATTTTATATAATTTTAAATTTATGCCAGAAGCAGTCAGTGCGAATTGACTTAAGCTTTAATTATGTTCCAAAATACTAAAACAAAATTAAGACATAAATTATCTTGAGTTTTAGATCTCAAAATGTCAAAACCTTGCAGTTTTTATATTTAAAATACAAAATATTAGAGGTCTTGTACGTCACATTATTTTGTTTATCAAATTTAGGCTCCTCCTTCAGTTTCCAAGTCCTGACGCTCCCATTTATAAGTTCACGGTGTATACACCTTTAAGGCAAACATTAAATTTCGCAGAAATTGGGTGCTCTTTATATGCGCAAAAATGTAAACTTGGTACGGATTAAAAGTCCTGTAGCCGATACCTGATTCTTTCTCGTACTATCAGACGAAGCTTATGAAATTTCAAGAAAATCTGTTCCATATTTTTATAATAAAGATATAGTTTCCGAGACCTGACATGTCCTAAAAGTTGAAACTGTGACATAATCGAGCTAAATGAGATTGAATTTCCATGAAAATCGGTTCAACCGAAATTGCGATACAGATCTGTACAGATAGACCATGTAATAGGACACGATATTATTGTTTTATTTACTTTATGTATTATTTACATTATGTCGGATGTGTTGATCACATCAACTGCAACCGATTTGAACTTAAATTATTATATATAATACATATGCACATATTTACATATCCATCATATTTTTTATTATAACATAATATTAATGCCTAAAAACATTTTTGGCTACCCAAGTAACATTTTTTATCTCATAAGACTCTTGTAGAACTATATTGAGAATTCTTAAAGAATTTACTCTTATAATTTCAGTCTTGTAGAACACTAAAAGACCCCAGTGAGATCTTTATAAGAACAAGAGAGCGGAATTACCAGAGTTATTAATTCTTGTAATGAGAGTTAAGCTCCCATTAAAAGAGCTTTTAAAGCATATAACTCTCATACCAAAACTAGTATGAGAGTTACGAAAACTCTAACAAGCCATTTATAATAGTGTTACTAGAAAGAGAAAGCAATACATTCTAGAATAAATAAATCGGTCTTACTTCGAACTTTATAAAAAAATATATCTATTCCGCTTTTAATAATTAATTTTTTTAACAAAAATGAAGCAAAATATACGAGTACATATGTTTACGTATATGATATGTAATCAATAAACATTTGTATTCAAAAATTTCATATAATTTTGCTGCCATAATTATAAATGAAAAAGTAGCTGGCATTAAAATTTTATTGATAAAAGTTGATATTGTACTTCGAAAAAAAGCAACGTCAACTAGAAATAATTAAAATTTAAAAAATTTTTATACATATTTTTTAACCCTATAATATCTTATTCCTTTTTTTTACATAAATTTTAAAGTTTAAGAATTGTTAAGCAAAAAATAAATATACTAATGTGCATAAATTCCAACTAAAACTTTATTATATTCAAATAA